TGGGCCAGCTGGACACCGAGATGTCACTGGCTTTCCCCGAGTCCACCATAGGGTCATTGATGCTGCTGGAGCTCGTGTCCCACTCGTAATGGAAACTGGGGAAAGAAGCCACGGGTAGTTAAGAGAAGGGGGTAAGAGTCAGGCTGGTGCAGGAGAGGGAGCCTGTGCTGTGCCCTGGGGATGGTGAAGTCGCTGTCGGGACAGTGCCAAGCTTAGGCCCAGAGTGAGGGACCACCTGGAACTGTGGCTTTGCTCCTGATCCCCCTGGGCCCACGGCTGGGGAGGTTCCTGCCCGTCCTGCCCTTTGCCAATAGAGCTGGAAACTTCCAGGGCTCTTTTTCCATGGACACCCCTGGAAGCTGATCTGAGTTTCCCATGAGCACACAGAGCCACCCTTTCCTGCAGACGTGAACTCTCCTCCCTTACAGCAGTCCCAGCACACACACAGCTCCTCCCGTGGGAGCAAATAAAATCATCAGGTGCTGCTCCGGGGGCTCCAGGGGCTGGGGGGGTCAGAGCTCCTGGCACTGTCCGTGGAGGAGCAGCCCCTGGCTGGGCAGGGCTGCAAACACGGTTCCCTGTGCCCCACAGCCCTCCCTGCCCAGAGCCCCCCAGGGCAGACCCCGCTCCCACCTGGGCTGGCACTGTGGATGGGCACAGGGCGCCGGGCCCCGCTTGGCACCGCTGCCAACAGCGTCCCCCCGGCAGCCGCAGCTGCCCAGGACCCGCAGCTGCAGCAGCTCCTCCGAGTTGCTGAAGGCAGGGTTGTCCAGCGAGCTGGCCGAGGGCAGCCCCGAGCGGGACCAGTACTGGGCAGAGACGTCGTCCAGGCGGCAGAAACGGCGGTAGCTGCGGGGAGGGTGGGCACGGGCTCAGGTGTGCACACACAGGTACACACAGATACACAGAGAGGTGTGCACTCACAGGTACACACAGGTACACACACAGAGAGGTGTGCACACACAGGTACACACACAGAGGTGTGCACACACAGGTACACACACACAGAGGTGTGCACACACAGGTACAGGTACAGACACACAGGTATGCACACATATATACAGGCACATGTACACAGAGGGCAGGCGCATGCACACGTGTGACACACAGGTACACACACAGAGAGGTGTGCACACACAGGTACACACACACAGAGGTGTGCACACACAGGTACACACAGGTACACACACACAGAGAGGTGTACACACACACAGAGAGGTGTGCACACACAGGTACAGATACACAAGGGCCCAGCCGCACGCGCAGGGTGGGACAGAGCCCGTGACGCTGATCAGCCTCTGGCCGAGCCCCACGGTGGTTGCAGCTGTTCCAGTGGTTTCCTCGGGAACAATCCCCACGGCACATTACAGAACGGGCAGTGAGTGAGGCCAGCACAGCAGAGCCCGTTCCCAAACGAGCAGCTTTGTCAGGGCTGTGCCGGAGCCTTGCTCACCCGCCCAGGACGGGCAGGACACGCTGGGGCAGACAGACCCCGTGCCACGGGCAGCACTGAGGGGTCCCAGGGACCACGTAGCTGGAGCTCATCAGCACATCTGTCCACAGCAGCGCAGCCCACAGCCCTTCAGTGCCACCACAGCCCCATACAGCCCCCAGCCAGCCTCTCTGCCTGCACCCCACTCCCCGTGGCTGGGAGCATCCCCTCCATCACCTCCCACTGCCGCTATCCCACTCCCAACGCTGTTTTCCTTGGCAGAGCTCAGCCCCAGCCCAGTCCCCCCCTCCAGAGCCCACAGACCCCAGTCAGGCCCCCCGTGCTCCCACCTGCTGCGGGTCTGGTCGGCCCTGGCCTCCAGCAGCAGCGCCTTGAAGCGGCGCACGGCGACGGCGGCGAGCACGGCGCCCAGCAGCAGGATGCTGAGCAGGACCCCGGCCGCCATGCCCAGCAGGCCCTGCTGCGTCACCCGGTAGTCACAGCGCAGCCCCATGAACCAGAAATCGCTGCCCACGGGGCACCTGCACCGAGGGGTCCATCAGCGCCAGGGGGACAGCGCCGCCCGCCCGGGCTGTCCCCAGGGCACTCACTGGCAGCGCGGCTGGTGGTCCCGGCCGTGGGAGCAGATGCCCTGGTTCTTGCAGTAGGCACGGTGGCAGAGGGAGGTGCAGGTCGCGTTCCCGTCCGGCCCGGCCACGCAGGCGAAGCCGGCCGGGCAGGTGAAGAGCAGAGCGCAGGGGTCCAGCGGCCGCGCTGCGGGGACGGCCCGGCTGTGTCACCGCTCCCTGCCCAGCGTGTGCCCACCCTGCCACCAGCCCGGGCCGGCGATGGCCTCGCACTCACCCAGAGCCGCGTGGCGCAGGACGGGGGCCGTGCCCACCGCCAGCCCAGAGCCCAGCGCGGCCTCGAGGAGCTCGTCCAGCCCCGGCCCCGGCAGCTGCTCGGCCGCGAAGAGCGCGTCGTAGCGCAGCACCACGCTGCCCTCCCTGCGGGGACACCGCGGGCTGGGGGTGCGCTGCCAGCGCGGGGTGACAGCCGCCGTGCCCCGAGCCGGGGAGCGGGACGCGCTGCGGGACTGTGCCAACACCCACCTGATCGCGGTCACCTCCAGCCGCAGGAAGCCTGGCACCGGCGCGAAGAGCGGAGTGACCTGCGGGGCGGCGGGGCTGAGCGCGGGGTCCCGGCCCGCAGCCCCCGGCCCGGCCCGCACTCACCGTCTGGTTGAAGCTGTGCAGCAGCTCCTGGCGCTCCGGGGACCCCGGGTCCTGCAGGGCCGGCACGAAGCCCATGTCCAGCACCAGCTCGCAGGGGATGCGCAGGAGGGATGCTGCAGGACAACACGGGGACCAGCAGGTCATGACCCCACCCCAGCAGCCACCTCCACCTCCCCCTCCTGCCGTGCCCCAGCAGAGGACCCCGAAACCTGACTCACCTCTGAGGACTGGGGGCTGATCCTCCACGATGAACACCTGGGGGGCCCTGCCCACCCCAGCCAGTGTCACCTGGGGGGTGTCAGTGTCTGTCCTCCCTCTGGGGCTGCTCGATGGCTGGGCCAGCTCTGTGTCCACAGCAGCTGAGGGGGACCCAGGGCCCCCACCATGGGAATCTGTGGGCTGCTGGGGGAGCCCGGGCACCACAGTGGGCACATGAGCTGGGGATGCCCATGTCACCCCCTGCCCATCCCTCTGCAGTACAGCAGCACGCGGCTCTGCTGTCACTGTGCCCATGTCCCCAAGCCTTTCTGGGCTGGTGGCAGCTGCGATGGTGGCAGTGACACTGGTGGTGGTGACACCAACAGCAGCGGTCGGTCCCAGGGAAGGCGCAGGCTGGGACAGAGTTGGCTGATGGGGAGGCCCAGGTGCTGAGGGGGGTGCCAGGCTGCCCTGTCCCACCTGGGTCCCCCCCAGGGATGGAGGGCTCTCAGCAGGACCCACCTTCGAGCTGGAATGGGGCAGCCCTGGGGAGGGGTCTCCCAGAGGGGTGCCCACAGTGGGGCCAAACCCCAGGACCCCCCAGCCGGTCCCTGGGGAAGGCAGGGGGGTCGATGGCAGGGTCATTGCAGAGCCACTGGCTGGGGCAGGCTGTGGGGACGGGGGGATGTGGGAGGATCCAGGACTAGCATCTGCCACCCCACCCTGTGCCATAGTGGGGCTGCTAGGGGGGACAGGGGGCTGCTCTGGGATGGCTGATGGGCTCAGGGGGATGTGACCATGCTCAGGGGGACCCTCTCTGTCAGGTGGGCCCAAGACCCCTGTGGTCAGGTCCAGAGCCCCTCCCTGGCTGGGAGAGGTCACCCCTGGGGTGCTGGCGAGAGGCAGACCTGAGCCCCTCCGTGTGGCAGGCAGCAAGGCTGGGCCTGTCCCCACGGCTGGCCAGGCTGTGCTGCCCAAAGGGCTCCCACCAGGCCCAAGGGACAGGGCAGAGGGGTGAAGGGCAGAGTGGGGACCCTCCTGTGGGCGGGAAGCAAAGCCCTGTCCTCCTGGCAGCCCCCAGTGTGTCCCCTGAAGTGTCCCTGTGGGGGTCAGCAGCCTCTGCAGCCCCCCAGCAAAGGGAGGTGTCCCTGGCGCTGAGCTGCCAGTGGCCAGCACGGTGCTCGGGCGGGTCCCTGGGCTGCTGTCACCCAGCTGGAGAGTGGCATTCTGGCTCTGCACGAGGGCTGTCCCAACGGCCCTCCATCCCAGCAGGCTGCTGCTGGACCTCCCCTGTCCCCTGGCAGAACCTGGCACTGTCACGGAGGGTGGTGAATACAAAAGTGTCCCCTGCGCTGTCGTGGCACCTTCTACTGTCACATGTCCTAGAGGGTCAGGGCTCAGGGCATGCGAGGTGGCAGGCTCTGTGTCTGCCTCCACAGGGGTTGGGGTCCCTGCCGGGGTCACCCCCAGCCTGGCAGGGGTCGGCTGCTCCCCGCCTGCAGAGACCAGCAGCCCCGGGGGCTCGGTGGCTGTGCCACCCCGCACAGCCTGCCCTGTCCCCTCCCTGCCCAGCCCGGGGCCCCTGGGGCTCTCCTGCGGGCTGGAGAGCTCGGCTGTCCCGGCGGGGGTCCCGGGGAAGGGCGGCAGTTCAGCCTCTGTCCACAGCTGCCCCACGGCCCCTGGTGTCGGCGGCTGCCCCGTGCCAGCTCCCGGCCGCGGGCGATCTGCGGGCAGAGGCGAGGGCCGGACCCTGAGCGGCTCCGACCCCCGGCAGCCGCGGGGCCCGGCGAGCCGCAGCACACGCGGCTGGCACTCGGTGCCCCGGAGGCGGCGGGAGGGGCGGCGGTACCTGTCCGGCAGCGCTCCCCCGTCGCGGTGCCCAGGTGGGCGCAGGGGTCGGCGGCGCCCAGAGCGGAGCCCGTGCCGCTGCCCAGAGCCGGGCAGAGCCGCGCGCAGCATTCCACGAGCACTGCGAGACAGGGAAAGGAGCATCCCGCACCAGCACCAGGCACCCCACCGCTGAGGGTGGGGGGCTCTGCTGAAGGAGATGCTCCGGAACAACCCAAACCCAGCCAGGAACCGCCTGTCCTGGTCCCAACGAGCGGTACCGAGTCCTGCCCCACCGCCTCCCTGTGTCCGTGCTGGGAGCCCCGAGCCCGATCATCCCGGCACCGGCACCAACGAGTCCGGGGCAGGGCACGGCGCCAGAGCCTGGGCAGGGCTCCGGGCAGGGCTCCGGGGCCCGTGGCGGCTCCTCTCCAGTGATAACGGGCCCAGCAGGCGCCAGGGCGGGTGGTCACCGCCCGGGTGGGGCAGGCGCTGCTCGGGGGTCACCACCAGCCCTGCGGGCCCCGCTCTCCACCAGCGCCTCAAAGGGCTCCCGCAGGGGCAGCACCCGCCGCCTTCGAGGCCACGGACTCGCAGGGGCTGGTGGCACGGCACGGAACGGCCACACGGAAAACACACGCGGCCGCCGCCGGCGTGCCCGCCCCGCTGCCCGCTCGCCCCGGTCCCCCCGGCCGGGCCCGCTCTGGGCAGGTCCCAGTGACACCGAGCAGCAGCGGCCGCCCCCAGCCCCAGCGGGGACACGGACCCGCCCGGTGCCGGTACCGGCCCCACCGCCGCCGCAGACCTCCGGGCCGCCGGGATGCACCGGCCCTGCCGCCGCCGCCCCCCGAGCGCAGCATCCCCCGCCCAGGGCCCGGCGGGAGCGGGGACCCTTCCCGGCCGTGCCCAGCTCCCCTCGCCTCGCTCACCTGCGGCGGCCAGGAGCCGGGGCAGCGGCGGCCGGGGCAGCGGGAGCCGGGGCCGCTCCATGGCGCGGCGCGGGCGGCTCTGCCAGGCGGCGGCAGGAAGCCCCCGCCCGCCCCCGCTGCGGCGGGGCGGAGGCGCCGGGAACCGCAGCCCCCGGCCCGGACCCGCCCCGCGGCACCGGCCCCGGAGCTCCCTCCCTCCGGGCCGGGGCTCGGCAGCTCGGCACGGCCCCCGGGGCTCAGCGCGGAGCCGCCGCCCGCGGCACTCGGGGGCTCAGCCCCGGCCTGTGCCCCTCGCTCCGGTTCATCCCGGGACACGTGCTCTGCCCCGGCTGTCCCCGCTCCGTGAGCCGTGCCGGGACAAAGGCTGCCCCAGGACACCAGCTCGGCTCCGGCTGCAGGCCCCTCACCGCATCCCTCGGGGTCACCACACCCAAGGGCAGCCAGCGACCACTCCCCACCACCAGACACCTTGTGTCCCTGCCACGGGGAAAGAGCCACAGGCACAGCAGCCAAACCCGCCGTGTGCCCCCGCTCTGCTGGGCAGCTGCTCAGAGAACACCAGAGCTCAGCCAGGCCCTGGGGCCGTGGAGAAGTGTCCAAGGGCACAGTGAGAACAGCTGGGAGGCAGAGGGTCACTGGTGTGCCAGGGATCTCACAGTGGGGTGCAGCCCCTGAGAACACCCCATCACAACACAAGCACCACGGGCAGCACTGCAGCCTCTGCTCCATTTTCCATCCTTACCTCCCCCACTGCCAGAACATCTGTTATCCAGTGACACTTCCTTGGCCCCCAGCCTGGCAGTGCTGCTGTGACATGTCATTTCTTGGCTCTGAGGAAAACTGTTCACAAATAACCCGTTCCTGCCTCGTGAGGGTTAAAGCAAGGCCCCCGTGCTGAGATGAACCGGGTGTACAGGAACAGCGATGTCAATTTGCTGTTCAGCAGCAGGAAAATCATTCCCCCCCCTTATTTTCCATCAGGAAAGCAGAAGCCTTTCACACAGAACTTGTTTTTACTAGCACTGGTGAAACAAACAATTACAAGCATGCAGGGCAGAGCCAAATCTCGGGGCAGGGTCCCCAGAGCGTCCTTCACACCCCAACACCACCACCAGGATCCACCCACTGTATGAGACAGAACAGCCACCACCAGAATGGTCTTAACTCTTTATTCCTGTTTTTTTTTTTTTCTTGTTTTTAAAGGACAACACATTCAGACAGCTTTAAATACAACATCCACGTGCAGCTTCCAAAGAAGGCCGCAGTGGGACAGCTCCTGTCCATCCCTGCCGGCACCAGCCCCGTCCTGGTGTGGGACAACTCCTGGAAAACAAAATCCACATGTTTAACATCTCACCAAGCATTCAAGGGTACAGGAGTGGGTCAGGACACGCTGAGCACTGAACACAGCACAGAAGGAGCCCCCAGTTCTCTCCAGAGGCCACAGCTCCCTCCCTGGCCCTGGACAGAGAAGGGACTCAGCCCCCCTGCCCCAGGGAGTTGGGGGGAAGCCTGGAGCCACACAGGAACAGGCAAGAATGTGGATCAGTGCTGCAGGCTGGCCTGAGGCCACCTCATTTCCCCTGCAGCCCTCCCCGACCGCTCCTATAACCCTTTCCTGCCCATTTCCTTCCCGGCTGTGGCAGAGGAAACGGCAGCGCTGGCAGGGCTCGGCGGGCGCCGCGCGGCCGGACCGGTGCCTGCAGCGCCCTCTGCCGGGCGGCGGCCGCAGCGCCCCGGGCCGCGATCCCGGGACGGACCGGGCCGGGAGCGGCGATCCCGTGAGCCCGGCTGCGATCCCGTGATCACGAGATGGACGGGGCCGGGAGCGGCGATCCCGTGAGCCCGGCTGCGATCCCGTGATCCCGGCTGGACCGGGCCGGGAGCGGCGATCCCGTGAGAACGGCTGCGATCCCGCGATCCCGGCTGGACCGGGCCGGGAGCGGCGATCCCGTGATCCCGGCTGGACCGGGGATCCCGTAAGCCTGGCTGCGATCCCGTGATCCCGGGCCGGGAACACCTGCACTGCTAGAGCAGACCCTGTCTGGCCTCTGTTCCAGGGCTCGGGCACTGCACAGGAAAGAAGCTCTGCCTCGTGTCCAGGTGGAACTTGCCATGCCCGTAGCCTCTTCTATCGCTCAGCTCCACCGAGAAGAGCCGGTCCATCTTCCTGGCACCCCCTTTAGATAATTACACCCATTGATAAGGCCCCTCTCAGCTGTGCCTGCTTCTGAGGCTGACCAGCCCCATCTCCCTCAGCCTTTCCTCGTCACCGTCATCATTTTCACAGCCTCTGTGGGACTTGCTCTAGGAGCTCTGTGTCCCTACTGTCCTGAGGAGCCCAGAGCTGGACACGGCTCTCCAGAAGTGCCTCCCAGGGCTGGGCAGAGGGCAAGGACCCCCTCCCTGACCTGCTGGAAATGCTTTTCCCGGGGACACCGCCGTCCTCCTTGGCCCCCAGGACACACTGCTGGTCGGGGACAGCTCGGTGTCCACGAGAGCCCCCAGGTCCTTGTGCGCAGCCCCCCGCAGAGCAGTGACAACAGACACGGGCTGTTCCCAAGGCAGCGTTTAATGGCACCGCAGGCGGGGCCCTGCGCAGCCCGTCAGGCGGCTCCCGGCTGGGGGGCCCGGTACCGGTACAGGTGCACGGTGCCGTCGCGGCGCCCGGCCAGCAGCCCGGCCCCGCCGGTGGCCCAGCGTGCCAGTGCCCAGCGCCCCGCGGGGCCCGGGGGCAGCACCGCCGTGCAGCGGCCCCGCAGCAGGTCCCACACGGCCACCGCACCCGACGTCAGCACGGCGGCTCCCGCGGTGTCCCACACGTCACCCTCCAGGTACCTGCGGGGACACGGGGGTCAGCAGGAGATGGGCTAAAACACCATGGCAGCGTTTGTTCAGTTAGGGCTCAGTTAAACATTAATAGCAACTGCAGGCAGCATACAGTCGGGGCTGTTCCTCCAGTGCAACTGGGAAGGAGGACAAAGAAATCCTCCTGGAGACTCAGAACATAGTTGAAAAAGGTGTACTCTTATAAAGTGGTTCTCTTAAAAAAAACCCTGCAAGTGTCCAAGGTCAGGCTGTACAGGGCTTGGAACAACCTGGTCTAGTGGAAGGTGTCCCTGCCCGGGATAGGGCGTGGGACTGGATGGTCTTTAAGGTCTCTTACAACCCAAACCGCTCTGTGATTCCATGACTGTTCAGTAACCAAGACCTTGGTCCAGCACTATTCCCCCACATCCATCACATTTCCTGTGTAAGGACACTGCAAGGCTGAGCCTTAAACGCAAGGCTGAGCCTGCTGATGCCTCAAAACACAGGACAGGAAGGAAAAGGCCATGTGCCTGCAGCCAGCTGCTCCACACAAACAAACCTGGCACGCTGCAGCCGCAGGCAGCGCCAGGGGTTCAGCCGAGCAGCCCAGGGACACTCCCCCAGTCCCTGGGGGACAAAGCCAGCCCCATGTCCCCACGGTGACAGGGCTGACAGGGCGAGGGTCAGCGCACAGCCTGGAGTGGGAAGCGGGCAGGAAGCAGCCCGGCCCCCAGCCCTTGCACCGGACACACGCAGGGCCGGATGCACCCTTATCACCGGGGAGAGGGCTGCTGGATCCCTGCCAGAGCGAGCCTGCTCCTGGGGCCTCTCCCAAAGCCCCCGAGGGAGCCCCCCCAGCCCAGCCCAGCCCCAGGGACTCGCCTGCCTGCGGGCCCGGGCGGGAGGCAGGAGAGCATCACCCCCGCGCTCCGGCCCGTGCGCGGGTTGAAGGCCACCACGCGGAACGCTGGGCTTCCACAGGACTCGCTCTCTTCGGCATGAGGATGGCTTACAACAACAAACAGAAGGCCCTGATACAGAGAGGGAAAATACATCACTAAAAACAACAGCACGAGGAGGAAAACCAAAATAATTTTCCAAAAATTAACTGCTACGTTCTCTCTAATCACAGCCCCATGAACAGTGATGCATTATTTTAACTGAGGAAAACAGAAATGGTTTACTTTCCTTATCAAATTAGATAAAAGCAAAAGCAGCTGCTGGCTGATAAAGGCTGATGCAACATAGCAGAGTGACAGCTCAGTGACCCGAGGGATTTATGAATTTCTCTTCCTGTTTCAAAAAGCTAAACCTGCCATAGGATAAGGTGACACTTCAAAAAACAAATGAAGTAAATTTTCTGGGTCACATTTTAATCCCTACAAGCTAAAAATGTAACAAAAATTCCATGGAAAGCAGCACAACTGAAAACAGTAGTTCCCAGAACAGCCACAAATCAGCATGAAATATCATGGGATGGATAATCTGAGGAAGACTCCAAAGAGTCTGACTCAAGGCACCATTATTGGACAAGACATTCTTGTCCCAAAAGGCTACATGCTCACTGAAAGCAATCAAATCCTTGATAAACCACAAAAACCCATTGGGAATCACAGCACAGGTAGAAGCAAGTGGGGTAAGATGATTAGTATGACTGTTGGTTTCACACAGCTCATTCCCTCAGGCATGTATGTCCAGAGAAACCATCCACAGAGGGTTTCTAATGCTGGCAGCACCCACGTGTGACATGGAAGAGGCTTGCCAAGCACCAGGCCTGGGCAACAGCACTTCTGCCTCCCACAGGCAGCATGCTGCAGCTTTGGAATGCACCAGGATGCATTGCTGCCAATTTATTGGCACCCTGCAGAAAGCCAGGAGTTGAGGCAGCGAGCGTATTCCTCCTGGTAACCTGTCTACTCTTGAATGATTTGCAGTGTATTGAAACGGAGCTGACAGCTCAACCCTCCCTAGCAACTTCAATCCTTGAGATCCCCATCCCAGCCAGTGCAGCCCAAGCATGAACTGTGAATTTTGTGCACGTACGGAGTCAGAATACGCTCGATGGCAGATGGAAGCTGGGTAGGAATAACCAACGTGCATCTTCCTCAGGAGCTGACCTGTTTTCAGATTCCTGCAGTTGGTGAAAACACAAATTCTGACTCATTTCTAATCACAGTTACACCCCTGTGCAGGATGGACATGGGTTTGTTCCACATTAAGCAAACTAAGCCAATAGCCAGGAAGGGTGTA